TGATGTCATGGGAGCACGAAAGGTATGGCCAGGCCAGGGCGAGGGGGCAAACGCCTCTCCTTGTGTGAAGGATGCAGCTGGGTCTCGAAGAACTTGATGTTGGTGTGCTGGTACGTCGTGGATTTCAGACGGTTCCCCCCAAACCCTGCCTGGGTGTTACTGCCATAAGGCAAAACCTAAACCCAGAAAAGGAATTTTCTATTTATTTGGTAGAAATAAAGAGATTCCCCTTTTCACTTGGATAGGAAATACTAGGGGGTTTTATTTTTTCTTCTTGTGGTTGACCCAGGAAGTCATCTTGTTGCCAGCCTTCTGGGTTTTTTTTTGCTCTAGAGGTGCAGGGAGGAGGGTGTTGCTTTGCTCTGGATCCTGTGGGTAAGCGTTGAAGGCTGTGACAGCAGCTGCTGTTGGCTCTGGAGCTCTGGTTGCTATGAGAGAAGCTTCAGTAGACTTGGCTGCTATCTCCAGGGAAGGACAGCAGAGCAGCCTCCATTAGTGTAGTGGTGGAGAGATGGCTGGCTCGTGTTCAGCAAAGGGGTTTACTTTTTTGGGCTGTTTCCCCAGGTCCAAATCAGAAGCAGGGTGTTTTGATCCAGTGAGACAAAATCCTACAAGGTGGGTTTCATTGCTGCTCTTGAGTTGATGGAATTGCACTTAAGTGCAGGCTGGAAACCCCGAGTTACCCTTTCCAGATATTTTGGTTGGTGTAAAAAGTAGGACAGTGAGAATTGATATGATCTTCCTGTTAAGTGAAGGCTGCAGTCGTGTTTCATTTGAACTCCAGTCTCCTTTCCAGCCAGAAACAGAGCCAGATGCTTTTCTTATTGTTTGTATGTCTCCTTCCTCCCCTTCCATTGCCGGGGCCCCACTTGCCTTATTGACTGGAATTTCTGCTGTGTGCAGTGGGTGTGTGCAGCAGACACCAGCCTGCTAGTGCTGAGGAGGGATTTTCCATTCAAAGACCAGGGAACAGTCAAAATAAAGGCCAGGCTCAACTTTGGGACTGCAAACAGAAAGCAGGGAGAGGAGTTTCCCTGTGCTGCAGAGTAAAATTTATCCTCTGCACTTCTTAGCCAGTTGTATGTCAAAACATATAGAAAATGCTGCTCTGCTGTGGAATAGGGAGGTGAAACCTCCTGTGAATAATGGGAACGATTCCTGTCTTGCAGTTGACTCAAATGCTTGATGAAGGAACAGTTTGCAGGAGGCCATTTTTGACGTGACTATGTATTGTGGAATCTGCCAGCTTCTATCCCCACACTGCCTGACTGCAGTAGCTTCCTCTTTTTTTTTTTTTTTTTTCTTTTTTAAAGGAAGAATGAGAGCCTTTCTTATCTGCTTAACTAACCATTTGGCACTGGCCTCTGTCTGTATGATACTGTATTGTTGGCTTGAAGCTATCAGTGTGTTCCAGTGCATTTGTTAAAGATGAAACTGTTAGTTGAGGTATGCAGTATGGGAAATGAGAATGCATTAGCATTTAGAAAACAACTGCCATCTTTGTGAACTTAACACCTATAATGGAGAGCCCCCTTGCCCTGGCCTGAGTTACCACACTCAGAATTACTATGAGCTTGAAGCAAAAATTCCAGGACCAAGAATAACGTGAGAGAGATTAAAATATGCTCTTAAATCTGCTTGATTTGCAGCAATCACGTGGCAGGAGCAAACTCAGAGTAGCTTTTATATTTGAGGATCTGGAGCACCCAAATTGTTTCACGTGGTGGAGTGAGCAACTTTTAACCCACCTAAAATGTATCCATCACTGGTGCTGCATGTGCTTATCTGCAGCCTGGCACAGAGTGTTGTGGCAACAGTAATGACCTTAGGGTTTTGTGAGTACAAAAACTAGCTCCTCGGTTTAATAAAATACAGCAAGTGGTCTTCATGTCCCCTTAGTCTTTATTTACAGTCTCTCTGTATGTTATAATGGGGAATGAATCTGCTGCCTCACATCCTACTGAATGACTGGCACCACTTTGACAAGGCCCTGGCTTTTTGTTTTACTGTCATATCCCAAGTGACCTGAAAGTAATATTCCTTAGCTAATGTTGTCTGCAAAAACACCACCCCAAGGTGAGGCAGTGAAATGGCACATATGTTTCAATCCTTTTTTAGAAAGAGGACTTGGTTGTAGCCAGATCTTATTTTGAACAGTAATAGATCAAAGTTGAAAAAAAAACAAAACAAAAAAACCTGGGAAAGAGGTGGCCTTAAACAGGCATCTCAGAATGTGCAGAAGTTTGTGCTCTTTTGGGAGGGGTTTTGTGAGGAGAAATCCAGCAACTGCTGATTTAAATTTTCAAAATGTTCCCTAAAGGAAGAAAAAAAAAACAACAACGCATTTTTAATTCAAACTTCCAGGTGCAAAGCTTGCAAAGAAGAACTCAATGTGTGATGTCCCAGCCATGTAATTTCTTAGTCTGACCCCCCTATTCTTTCTCCCATTTTGGGTGATCTGACTTTTGTAAAGTTATTTTGAATGATGTGATGAGATAAAAATGTTACTATCTATTCTGGCAATAGTAAAACAAACATGATGAGTGTTTGGAGGTTTGAAACAGCAAAAATCATTGTTCTCATGGCAATATTACTGTTTTACAGATGCACATTTGTGTTTTCTGGTGCTGCATGTGTGTGTAACTCTGAAATCTTGCCAGCCAAGTCTCATGTGCTGTGTAGAAGGGTTGCAATATGGGAAGATTTTTTTTATGTATTCAAATGTAGTAGCAGTACTACTTTTGTTGAAAGCATTAAATGTATGTCTAAGAATACAGC